GTCTAAATACAACAAACCCCCAATCACCCCACCATAAGTAGGCTACAATAGCCAATGAGGCCATGGCTACAGCAGGCTATGTCGTTAGATAACAAACAATTCCATCCAAAATCATCTCAATTTGAAATAACTGAAATTTCTTTTTCTGTCAGTAAACATAGGCCCAGCATATATTTTCGCAAGTGCACTGCAAATAAAAAAAAAAGTAATACAAAAAAAGATACATTTTAACCCTTTTAAAGCATAGTATACGCTAATTTTAGGCATCCCGAATGCCAGTCGCGTGAACAAGTCTGCAACATCCAATAAAAAAAATGAAAAAACATAAGTGCCAACGATGTATGAGACCAAGAAGACGGGCCTTGACTACAGGGTATAAAATTAAAAACTGGATTGGATCAAATTGGATTGATTTCTTTATTGTGAGCATGTAAAAACAACTTATTTATACAGGAACTTGGCGCAGCGATCTTTCATGTGCGCAAATTTCTCGATTACAGATTTATTGAAATCAGGGATGTCCTGTGTCAGCCGCTTTTCGCTTTTGAATACACTGGTGGAGTAATATGAGCTGAAACAGCCGCATTTGACGGAGTATGACCGTGGGGCAGACTTCTTTATGACCCAAAGGACCTCTTTCAGCGCGGATTGCAGTTCCGATCAAAGCCTGTGGGGTAATGCGATAAAGCACCTGGGGAACAGGATCGTTGAGCTGTCCCGCCCCAAACGCTGAATGACACATTAAACCAAACAACTTGATTCGAGATTATCTGAAATTTATTGTTAACGGACCAAAAATAGTAACAAAGCATATGCAACCCCAATTCCGAAATAGTTGGGACAAAGTGTAAATTGTGAATAAAATCAAAGCACAATGACTTTCAAATCACACCAGCTAGTATTTTATTCACAATAGAACAGAGGTAACATAGCAAATGTTGAAACGGAGAAATTTTACAATTTTATCCACAAAATGAGCTCATTTCAAATTTGATGGCTGCTACAGATCTCAAAAAAGTTGGGACAGGGGCCTGTTTACCATGGTGTAGCATCGTCTCTTCTTTTTAACACAGAGTAGAAGCGTCTGGGTATTGAGGAGACAAGTTTTTTGAGTTTAGCCATTGGAATTTGATCCCACTCTTGTTTAATACAGGATTCCAGCTGCTGGAAAGTTTTGGGTCTCCTTTGACAGACTTTTCGTTTAATTATGGGCCAAATGTTCTCAATCGGTGAAATATAAGGACTGCAGGCAGGCCAGTTCAGCACACGAGCTCTTCTACTATGAAGCCATGCTGTTGTAATAGCTGCAGTATGTGGTTTTGCATTGTCCTGCTGAAATACACAAGGCCTTCCCTGGAATAGATGTCATCTGGAGGGGAGCATATGTTGCTCTAAAACCTTGATATACCTTTCAGCATTCATGTTGCTTATTAAAACATGCAAGTGTCCCACACCATATGCACTAATACCCCATACCATCAAAGATGCTGGCTTTTGAACTGAACGCTGATAACAGGAGGGGTGGTCTTTCTCCTCTTTAGCCCGGAGGACACAACGCCCATGATTTCCAACAAGAATGTCAAACTTGGACTCGTCTGACCACAGGACACTTTTCCAGTTTGCTACAGTCTGTTTTAAATGAGCCTTGGCCCACAGAACACAGCGGCGCTTCTGGATCATGCTCAACAATGGCTTCCTTTTTGCATGATAGTGTTTTTATGTGGCACCTGTGGATGGCACGGCGGACTGTGTTTACAGACAGTGGTTTCTTGAAGTATTCCTGGGCCCATTTAGTAATGTCAATGACAGAATCATGCTGGTGAGTGATGCAGTGGCGTCTGAGGACCCGAAGATCACTGGCATCCAGTAAAGGTCTTTGGCCTTGTCCCTTATGCACAGAGATTTTTCCAGTTTCTCTGAATATTTTGATGATGTAATGCACTGTCGATGATGAGACCTTCAAAGCGTTTGCAATTTAAGGTTAAGGAACATTTTTTTTTAAAGTACTCCACAATCTTTTTACACAAGCCTTCACAGGTTGGAGAGCCTCTGGCCATCTTTACTTCTGAGATACTCAGCCTCTTTAAGACATCCCTTTTATAGCCAATCATGTTACGCACCTGATGCCAGTTAACTTAATTACTTGCTAAATGTTCTTTCAGCTGATTCTCTTATATATTGCTTTTTCAGCCCTTTTTTTGCCTGTGTCCCAACTTTTTTGAGACCTGTTGCAGTCAGAAAATTTGAAATAAGCTCATTTTGTGAATAAAAATGTAAAATGTCTCAGTTTCAACATTTGAAATGTTATCTATGTTCTATTGTAAATAACATATTGGCTCGTGATCTGAAAGTCATTGCATTTTGATTTTATTCACAATTTACACTTTGTCCCAACTATTTTGGAATTGGGGTTGTAGAAACTATAGATAATATTCAGACAATCACACAATAAAATAATGGACTTGGGGCGAAGATTTATTGAGGAACTTCTCTTTTTTTTTTTTTTTTTTTTTTTTTTTTTTTTGGGAGCATGATTTTTTAAGTAGTTTGCTGCCCCACCTGCCCATATGGACGGCATGCGCCATGCAGCGCCGATGAGAACTGGCAACTGCCAGCCCTATTTACTTTGGAAAATCACCTCCACCTTAACGAGCAACAGGTGCAGCTTGTTAAGGTGGAGGTGAGAGAAAGCCGCAGGGGAGGGGCTGCAAGGCAAAAACGCTTACAACCCTAAAATTAAAAATGAAAATCCACTCTTTATACTCAAATTCATTATTTAATTCAATTTCTAACATGTAACTGACAACAAAAATAATAACTTTGTCTAAATATTTATGAACATGACTGTATATTTATTTGAAAGAATAAAGCAATGATAGTGTAAGCGAAAATACTGTTCATTCTATCCTCCTCTGATGTCAAAGAAGACTAAATACCATAATTTTCCCCTCAATAATTCCGAGGGGTGCAAACGAGTTCTCGAATTAATGAGAACTCACTGTGCAAATCGTAACTGGTTACAAAAAATTAATAGCTGTTCATCGTTTTGCAGTCCTGTGTTTTTTTTTTTTTTACATTTTTATCCCTGTAAGTTTTGTGTTTTGTAGACCCATATGAGTCTTTTAAGAAGTTATCAGGCTTTTTTGCCTTATTTATTTCAACCTCTTCAACCCCAACTCCTGGTAATGCTGGCGTTATGGGATCTTCAGTTGAGTGGCATCAGATAGAAATCTCTCTCCTTTGAAGCATGATGGATCACAACCCGTCCCGGTTCGAGATTGCCTGATAAACAATAAAACAATTTATTCACTAAATTACCAAGACCAATACGTAAGCATGTCGTATGGGGTAAGGTTTCTGTCAAACGATTTGTGTGTGTACACGTAAAAACTTGTGCATATATTTAAAATGTGTGCATATTACTCTATAGTCGTGCAGAAATAAAAATGTTGTAAACTCATGTTTAAGTCAAATCATACATAGAATATATAGTGCTTATTTTCTCTGCAAGTATACAACTCATAAAGTTACAACTTTACAAAATGACGAATACGGATTGCAGTTTTATGGGTGAGTTTTCCTCTTTCTGAATACGAATCTGACAACTGTGAAATAACTGTCAAAACTACGTCATGAGGTCACGGGTATTATGTATCGAGTGGAAGATAACTGATTGCACAAAGTGAGCATGCGTCCCAAGTGCAAACATGGGTTTGATTCATTGAGTTTCCACAAGAACTGCAGAGGGTGTCACCACCTCACCAAGTTGAAGAAACCAATATGGCATCCAGTGCACTGCACCTCCCCAGTTTCCCATAGAGTATAATCGAGAAATCTGAGCATTTTCTTTAAAATCAAGGGGTCTAGTTCAATGTTTTCAACAGAGATGTAATCAAAATGCATATAAAAATAAGAATAAATGGTTTATTTTTTGTGACACTTTTCGAGAATAAAGTTATTGGGGGGTGTTGTTTTATTCATTGCAATCAACGTTTGACCAGCCAGTTGGTCGAGTAGTGACTATGAATATCTGACGAATGGCCTTTAAAAACCATCATATAATGTCGAAAGAACTCATTCACTGAATACAACTGCAACATAATGTAAAGCAGATGGCTTACAGTGATCATGTCTGTTCTGCTCTCTAGCTAGCTAACTTTTTAATGTATTTGGCGGTGGGTATTGTGTGGATTAATGTTGATTCCAATACAGTTTATTGTTTGGCATATCATTTGGCATGCACCCAATTCCAAAAAAAGTTGAGATGCTGTGTAAAATTTAAATAAAAACAGAATGCACTGATTTGCAAATCTCACATTTTGTTCACAATAGAACATAGACAACATATCAGATGTTGAAAGTGAGACATTTTACCACTTCATGAAAATATTAGCTCATTTTGAATTTGATGGCAGCAACACATCTCAAAAAAGTTGGGATAGGGCCATGTTTACCATTGTTTAGTATCCCCATTACTTTTAACAACAGTCCGTAAACGTCTGGGAAGTGAGGAGACCTATTGCTTAAGTTTTGGGAGAGGAATGTTGTCCCACTCTTGTCAAATGTAGGATTCCAGCTGCTCAACAGTCCTGTGTCTTCTTTTTTTTTTTTTTTTTTTTAATTTGGCATCTCCAATCCCACCCGAATCTGGAATGTCCAATTGGGGAACTATGTACAAGGCTTTTCACATATGCGGCCCCCTATTGCCAACTCAGGAGAGTGAGACAGCTTGCGGTTCTCCTCCAAAGCGTGCAACCATCGCCACCGCTTCTTATACACTCATTGGTTGAAACTTCGCAAGCTCAGAACGAGGGCGGAGGATACTCGAGCATGAACGAGCTTAGAATCTTTCTAACGAGAGTCCGTCTGGCCAACAGGAGGCGCCTGAGAAATTGCTTTTTACAATACCCTATCCCAGCAATACCCTTCCCAATTTGCATCCCTGTAGCACATTGGCCAATTGCGCGCTACTCTGAAAAGAGCTGCCAACCACTGCCGGCTGGTATGAGGCGGGGATCGAACCTGCGCCGTAATAGTCACTTCTGCTTCGCAATGCGATGCTTTACCGGTGAGCTATCAGTCCTGATGTGTCAAATGTATTCTATTATTGAATGGTCTTGACTGCAGGTAGGCCAGTTCAGCACTCAGACTCTTCTACTGGGAAGCTATGCTGTTGTGATCGATGCAGTATGTGGTTTGGCATTGTTTTGCTGAAATATGCAAGGCCTTCCCTGAAAGAGATGTCTGGATGGGAGCATATGTTGTTCTAAAACCTCTATATACTTTTCAGCATTGATAATGCCTTTCCAGATGTGTAAGCTCCCCACGCCATAGGCACTAATGCAATCCAATACCATCTGAGACGTAGGCTTTTGAACAGTGCGCTGCTGACAAGTCCCTTTTCTCGTTAGACTGCACGACACGGCGTCTGGTTTCCTAGAGGAATTTCACATTTTGATTCATCTGACCACAGAACAGTTTGCCATTCAGCCTCAGTCCATTCTTCATGAATTTTGGTCCATAGAATCGTGTTCAGATATGGCCTCCTCTGTGTATGATACAGCTTTAGCTTGCATTTGTAGATTGAACTGTGAACGGTGTTTACTGACAATGATATCTGGAAGTGTTTTGAGCCCATGCAGGGTATTCCAGTGCAGAATCATGCTGTTTTTAATGCAGTGCCTGAGGGCTCAAAGATCGCAATCATCCAATATTGACCTTCGGACTTGTCCCTTGCACAAAGTGATTTCTCCAGATTCTCTGAATCTTTTGATGATATTATGTATTGGAGATTCAAACTCTTCGCAATTATACAGTGAGAAACATTTTTTTCTGAAATTGTTCCACAATTTTTAGATGCAGTTTTTTGCAAATTGGTGAGCCTCTGCCCATCTTTACTTCTGAGAGACTCTGCTGCTCTAAAATGTTCTTTTGATACCCAGTCATGTTACTGACCTGTTGCCAATTAACCTAATTGTTGCAAATTGCTCCTCCAGCTGCCCCATCCCAACTTTTTTGAGACGTGTTGCTGCCATCAAATTCAAAATGAGCTAATATTTTTCATGAAATGGTAAAATGTCTCACTTTTAACCTCTGATATGTTGTCTATGCTCTACTGTGAATAAAATAGGGGTTTATGAGATTTGCTAATCATTGCATTCTGGTTGTACATTTTACACACCATCCCAACTTTTATTGTCATGGTGTGTCATCTGTTGTCCGTCATCCGGCACATTTCTTATCTTTTTTTTGGCCCGATGAATTTTTGTGTAAATTTGCCATAACATACTACTAGACCATATCTCCAGACTATTTTTTAGGATTTTTGATTTAATCTTTTTTTTTTTGTTTTATGGAACCTTGAAATTTTGGCCCCAATGTTAAAGATAGGACTGAGAAATTTCAAAATATTATTTCTCAAAAACTGCTTGATAATCTTTTTCTAAATCAGACAATCACCTCTCCTTGGTACTGTCAATGTACAGTGCGAGCGCCATTTTGATTGCATCGACGGAAGTGGGTCTAGTGGCGGCGTTGTACTTTATCAATATGCAAGATGGCCTGTGGAGGCCAAATGGTTGCAGATAGAGATTAAGTTTGTATTATGGACAATTAGGAAGTCATATGACCTATATTTTGGCTGTGTTAAAGTTGACCTCAGTTGATCCTGAAAGTTCAAGCTTGAGGTCAAGCAAAATGTTACAATTTTCAAAGGCTTCTAGTCTTGAAAATATAGAAAATTGGGAAAATATATATATTGAACACTTACAGGAAGTCATATGTGAACTTTCATTTGGTGGCCTTGATTCTCGGCTTCCATTTCCTCTGTTGTGATTATTCCTTTTTTCATTTCTATTGTCATTCCAGCCCCTGTTTCCCAGCCCGTATTCTTCTGTTATGCCTTCTCACGTTTATCCTTAGCTGTGTTATCTATTCCAGTCCTGTTAGTAAAACATTCAGTAGATTCCTTCATCATCTGTGTTCTCTGTTCCTAAGTGAACCATGCCAATTCTTAAAAGTCCAAAGTGGCGATATCTTTGCCATCTTTCCACAGCATTCGCTGATATGTAATTGATGCTGTTAAGGAGCACCGCGCCAAATATAATATTTTTTTTTTTGTCAGGACTTAATAGTACTAGAGCCAAAATGGCAAAATCGCTGAAATGTTTGTTAGTGTGGTAATATTAATGTAATTTATGGTGTTGCTGGATTGAAACCAACTACCCCATTTGCACATCTTTGTGCGGGAGGCAAGCAGAAGAGCAGTTATTGACTGTAGTGAAAAATTTGGCTTTGAAACATTATCGCCATTGAATTCGGATTGAAGTGGAATATTTTGTTGGATGAAAAACAGTATGGATTTTGGAAATTATTACACGTATCTTTTTCCAATAAATTTTTACCTTTGAAATTTCGACTTAAGGCTGTGCGCTCTTGGAGATGTTTGCATCACGAGAGCGGAATACAATCCTAAGCAGCCAGCACTGGAAACTAATTCTACAAAAAGTATAATTCTAATAATATTAGTATAACCTAAGCCTTGTCTGCATCTGTGCAGAAATACCAGTTTTAAACAGAAATACTGGGTTTAAATAGAATGAATAGGCCTACACGCTATAAAAAAGCTGAAGCATTACCACGTTGATTGGAATTTGATTCCTAACGTTGTGAATGAAGCTTTGATCTATTCGTATAGCCGTAAGTTCAAAATAGGCTTATAAATCACTGTAAACAATGGCCTACTTCCAAAGTACAACTTTGGTAGACTGGACCGCATGGGGAGAAAAAAGGCAGTGGCTATTTTTATGCCAGTCGTAAACCTACTCCAGTGTGCTATTCTTACGAACTGCTGCATACGCAATGTAGGAAATTTGGCCATAGAAAAAAATTGCAACTCACTGACTGATGTTAAAATAGCCCGCGTTTGCTGCATGCCTCATGGTGAACATTACTACACCAGCTTGGCAGCTAACTTGCTTTACATTACAGTTGGGCACCTACTCTAGCTAAATAGCTTTAGTTATTAGCTAGCTAACTTAGCCAGCTTGCCATTTAGCTAACTTGCATTCATAAATTTCTTGCAAGGACAAACTTTGTGGAACGAATTAGCTCTTCTACATGACACTAACCACTACAGACTATTGATTGTTAAGATTGACTACCTGACAGCTCCTTAAATATTAGCCAGCAAACACTGAACAAAAAATTACGCTCTCATAACTACAACCCCAATTCTGAAATAGTTGGGACGAAGTGTAAATTGTGAATAAAATCAAAATTCAATGACTTTCAGATCACATGAGTCAATATGTTATTGACAATAGAACATAGATAACATTTCAAATGTTGAAACTGATACATTTTACATTTTTATCCACAAAATGAGCTTATTTCAAATTTTCTGGCTGCAACAGGTCCCCGAAAAGTTGGGACACAGGCAAAAAAGGGCTGAAAAAGCAATCAATATATAAGAGAATCAGCTGAAAGGACATTAAGCAAGTAATTACATTAGCTGGCATCAGGTGTGTAACATGACTGGCTATAAATGGATGTCTTAGAGAGGCTGAGTCTCTCAAAAGTAAAGATGGCCAGAGGCTCTCCAACCCGTGAAGGCTTGTGTAAAAAAATTGTGGAATACTTTAAAAACAATGTTCCTCAACGTCAAATTGCAAAGGCTTTGAAGGTCTCATCATCGACAGTGCATAACATCATCAAAATATTCAGAGAAACTGGAAAAATCTCTGTGCATAAGGGACAAGGCCGAAGACCTTTACTGGATGCCCGTGATCTTTGGGCCCTCAGATGCCACTGCATCACTCACCGGCATGATTCTGTCATTGACATTACTAAATGGGCCCAGGAATACTTCAAGAAACCACTGTCTGTAAACACAGTCTGCCTTGCCATCCACAGATGCCACCTAAAACACTATCATGCAAAAAGGAAGCCATTGTTGAGCATGATCCAGAAGCGCCGCCATGTTCTGTGGGCCAAGGCTCATTTAAAATAGACTGTAGCAAACTGGCAAAGTGTCCTGTGGTTAGACGAGTCCAAATTAGACATTCTCGTTGGAAATCATGGGTGTCGTGTCCTCCGGGCTAAAGAGGAGAAAGACCACCCTTCCTGTTATCGGCGTTCAGTTCAAAAGCCAGCATCTCTGATGGTATGGGGATGCATTAGTACATATGGTGTGGGACACTTGCATGTTTTAAAAAGCACCATGAATGCTGAAATGTTCATATAACATATTTTGAGCAAATGTTTTGAGCAACATATGCTCCCCTCCAGATGAAATCTATCCCAGGGAGGGCCTGGTGTATTTCAGCAGGACAGTGCAAAACCAGATACTGCAGCTATTACAACAGCATGACTTCGTAGTAGAAGAGTCTGTGTGCTGAACTGGCCTGCCTGCAGTCCTGATCTTTCACTGATCGAGAATATTTGGCGCATAATTAAACGAAAAGTCCATCAAAGGAGACCAAAACTCTCCAGCAGCTGGAAGCCTGTATTAAACAAGAGTGGGTTCAAATTTCAATGGCTAAACTCAAGAAACTTGTCTCCTCAATGCCCAAACGCCTCCACTCTGTGTTAAAAAGAAGAGACGATGCTACACCATGGTAAACAGGCCCCTGTCCCAACTTTTTTGAGATCTGTAGCAGTAATCAAATTTGAAATGAGCTCATTTTGTGGATAAAATTGTTCTCAGTTTCAACATTTGCTATGTTATCTCTGTTCTATTGTGAATAAAATACTGGCTGGTGTGATTTGAAAGTCATTGTGTTTTGATTTTATTCACAATTTACACTTTGTCCCAACTATTTCAAAATTGGGGTTGTACATAACTGGCAAACTAATTTAACAAACATCTAGCTAGCTAACATCACAAGTCATAGTCCCACTATGTCAGCTGATGTATTATAGCTGATATATTTTATTCCAGATTTCCCATGTTGTGCAAGTGCATTTGGAAGTTTCTAAGAATAGCACATTGGAGTAAAATTATGACTGGCGTAAAAATAGCCACTGCCAAAAAAAAAAAAAAACTACAAAGCAAGTGCTTGAGTATTCTTTAATGCAATAGGA